GGAGAAAGCCAATCAGAGCAAACGGTGTCCTTGAAAACGGCACAACATCAACGCTTCAAGTGTTTAACTTGATAACATCGTCAGAAACGTTTTGTGAATGCTATGACGGAGTACCCGTACGAAGAATTGGCAGATATTCACCTCAGGTACGCTGAAGCAAAAGGAAAGGGACCTGAAGCACGAAGATTGTACGAACAGCGATTTCCAACTCGTCAGATTCCAAATCATCCAACTTTTTCCAATGTTGATCGAAGACTGCGAGAAACCGGTTCTTTTGCCATCTGAAAGAGCAATGCACGACGTTCGCAGTGAACGCCTAGAATAACGACCCACGATTTCCTACAGTAATATTATTTAGTGATGAGGCAACATTCAGCAAAGAAGGCATTTTCAACGTGCACAATCAACACGTTTGGTCCGACAGCAATCCCCACTGCATTACCCCTCATAAACAACAGCAGAAATTTTCCGTGAACGACTGGGCAGGTGTCCTAAGTGATTACCTGGTAGTCCCTTAATCATGCTAGGCCGTTTGACCGGCGCAACGTACCGTATCTTCTTGGAACAAGTGTCTCCCATTTTATTGCAGGCTGTTCCACTTCCCATCCAGAGAGACATGTGGTTTATGCACGATGGAGCCCCAGGACGTTTTTCAGTCACGGTCAGTAACTTTTTTGAATGTCACATATCTCACACGAAGGATGAGACGTGGCGAACCTGTGGCTTGGCCTCCTCGCTCACCGGACTCAACCCACTGAACTTTTTCTTCTGGAAGCACATGAAATCTTTAGTGTGCGAGACACCTGTGGACTCAGCTGAAGCTCTCGTGGTGAGAATCATTGTTACCGCGTACAAATTAACACGACACCAGGAATCTTCGAGAGGGTGAGCACTCGATGTCGTCGCCGATGTCAAATATGCAACAACACACGTGGTCGGCATTTTGAGCACTTTCTGCGAGTTTTTCACTAGACAATAAATCTGATTGCGCAACTTTTGGTCTCGTTTATTCGCTTTCCCAACACTGTTGTAAGTTCAGGTTGGAATTCTAATATTCCTTTTTTCTGCCTCTGAGAGTGGAGTGCGACCCTATGTTCTATGGTAATTATTGCTCGTCTGGATGGGTATTACCAGCACTCCTACTTTGTAAAAAATATTTAGAATCATCCTGTAGAAATTACCGTTCTCTTTACAATAAAAAGCTTAATAATAACTGTTACGTTGCCATAACTTTTACCGCTCGCGGCGATCACTGAGTTTTCGGCTCTCTCAATACGTACCAAATAAAGCTACAAATTCTCTCTAACACATTAGTATGATGTAATTATCTAAGCCGACACAAAGGAAAAAATGAAAACCATGCGTTAATTTTTTTACGTCAACCTTTAATTACAGCATTATAAAATACTGCTTGTTTTCTGTTAGCTAAACCGTCGAGAACAGAGTAGAAGCCTTATTAATTACTCCAATTGTTGAGTAATAGCTAGTACAGTACACTTTTTTAAAAACAAAGCACTTAAGGTTTTCAAAAAATTCTCCTCATAACTAGCAAAACCTTCAATTATAAGTATTAATATAATACTTAGAATTGCTTTCTAAAGCCAGTATGTTAGAATAAAATGCAAATGTTCAAAAGGAACTAATTTCGGGGTTTCTATTCGTCTTTCTTATTAGTAGCACAAGTAAAACTGAAGTATTGCTCGTAGAGATAAGGAATTTTTTCCAAATTAATATCACTGAGATAAAAATTTAGTTAACATTTGTATTTTTTATTCCAATAGTTCGATGGAGTAAGGAAGGCATAGCCAAAACATAAAGCTGTTAAAATCTTATTGTGATTTTTAGAATATTCTGCCAATGTAAAAACCGTTCCTCTACTTAATTCAATTCCATATGAAAATGATCGACTTTTAATTCTTGAGCTATAATCATTTTCTTTATTTCTTGCCCAAAACTAACTCTCTATAAAATTCCGTCTCACATGAAAAATGACACCCGGGGCAGGCTGCGTCACCTAGCTACACCACTGGATAATAAGCATAGTGCGTAAAGGCGCAGCGTTTTCTGTCCTAAAATGGTGAAATTTTTTTTAGAAGTCACATCTACTGTCTTCCGTTCAAGAATAATTTCGGGTCAATGCAAATGGGCATTTGTATTAATCGGCACTCGCTGATGATACTGTTCATAATTCTGCTTTCCTGAGAGTGGTGCGACAATCACAAAAGCTGCTACAGTAAAACTTAAGATCCTTACTTAAGATTCTTACATAATTATTACATAATCCTTAAGATCCTTACATCTTTACTTTTAAAATGATGCGATTCCCCCTCTTGCTAATATTTAACTTCAACTGCGTGATTTTGGGGATGGGTAACTCTCGTCTGGCGACAATTTCTGTTAGTTATAAAAATTCACAAATGTTTTAATTCCCGCGCAGTGAAACTGTTCATGACAGGAAAAGTACAATGGCATGGAATGGGGTGCTAACAATTGTCGGCACACTGTTACTGGGAATTTTTTCAAGGGCTTATTTGTCTCTATTTAGCAGAATTTATACGGAGGCAAAAACAAGCTGCCGAGTATAACAATTTGTTTTAAATAACTGCCATCTGTAATTGGAAATTATTTTAAAAAAATGTGTTTATACCAATGCTGAAAATATTATTACCGAAGGTCCCAACAGAATGTTGCCGGTGTATGCGCAATTAGGAGAGGGGGGGGGAAAGATCTTAATCGAAGTTTCTCTGGTTAAGAAGAATTTTTCTCTTATAGCCAAGTGGTTGTCAGTTTCACTTTGTGTTATAAATATTAGATAATTACAAAACCTGTATACATTTTTGGAGATGCAAATTACGAGTGGATTTGGCGACGTATTACGGCCGGAATTTTCGAGCAATAACCATGTCAGCAAACAGCATATAAAAGTTGCCTGCTTAAGACAGCAAATATTTCCTAAAATTTTTTAGAAGGTTTAAAATGCAAATGATAAGATGCATATCAGATGTTATTTGTTGTAAGAGTTTAATAGAGGCAGCATTGCAGCACTAGTCTGCCCAGACATTCAGTAAAGTGAACAGCAAAGATGCATTTAAGTGTATGATAAAAATCAGTCACGCTGCGAATGTCCATCACTGTATTTTGAGTAAACTATGGACCAAATCATATCAAATACCTCATAATGTACTAGATCAGTGGGTTCTAAAAGCAAGTGGAAATGGCAGGTAGTACCTATGTTTCTTTGCTTCCTCGTTCCAGAAACGAATCATTTTTGGAACGAAGCTAAGGGGGGTAGAGAAATGGGTGCTCTACCGTAATGTCAAAAGTCGAAGGATTGTGAATAGTATAGAAGAGTCTGCTCCATATCAAAAGGATTGTATTCCGAAAAAGTTTTATCAATTCTTTGGTGGGATACGACAGAAATAACCCACTGTTCAACTACCTTCTATGTAACCCAATCGGTAATGCTGACATGTACTGCCAACAGCTGAACAACTGAGGCAAAAAATGACACATAAGAGGCCAGAATTTGTTGATCGCCAAACATATTATCTTTCAACATGATAACGTCAGACCTCATGCTGCTTAAATCACTCGGAAAAAAACTAGTTGGAAGTCAGAAACGTTTTGAAGAATTTTTGCAACTCTTTTTCAAAAATCAAACTCTACTTGATTCAATTTTTATGCCAGAGTTTTTCAGATTAATTCTGATCATTTGCACATGCACAATTCAGATATATCTTGTTTGTTAAGTTACATACTATGTAAGGATCTTAAGTTTTACTAACCTTTATTTTATTTTAAAACTGTACTATCACTTCTTATTTTCCACTTCCGACCAGAATTAAATGTGTTAACTTGTTTATGCAAATTGTACTTGCTAACACCCAAGTATTTCAGTTGTGGCTTTTTGCCAAGAGTTAGAGAGAGAAGGAAAGTGAACCGCCTTGTCACTGCATTCTATACGGGTTTTCAATCAGTTGCTGCTTGCCTTTAAGGCCAGAGGTTTAATCCTCTAGATATTTAAAACGTATTGTAGTTTTTGCAGTTTGCGTACTACATACGTAACCTTTTAAAAAGGCCAGTTTTAGTGTTAGGCTAATTCAAAGTCGGCAGTTTGCATCTTAATGTTAGGTAACTAATTCAAAGTTAGCTCTTATTTAGAATTTTAGTTAGTAGTTTTATATTCTTACGTTCAGACCACAAGTAGTTGGTCTCTGTATCCTGAAGTGTGGGAGCACCTAACCCTTCCTGCTTGTGTCGTCCATTCCAAACATACTTGAACATAGCTTTAGTAAGCTCCTTGTTCCTATTCAGGACACATCATATTCCCTAAACAAGCCAAAAGACATACTATTCCCTAAACAAGCCAAAAAACATATAAGTCCTGAACTTTACACTAAATTTTCATACTGCTTAAAAAGAAGTGCAGATTCATTTCATTTTAAGCTATTTAATATGTTTTCTCCCCATAAATGATGTATCTACACACATGCATGTCATATAAAGCATTATTTATTATGTAATTAATGCTAATTGTAACAACTCCTTACATCGTTAAGAAAAGAATTTAATATCATCAGATGGGAGCTTTTTGCTCTAGTTGGCCAATCCATGTAATGGGAAGGTTGCTATAATGAGCACCCATTAAAACCAGTGTAGTTAGTTAACTAAGACTGTTTTTATAACATTTATAAAGCAGTTACAGTAAATACTGTTACAAAAGTAATTAATTAGATAAATGTCCATTTCTTTTTTACTCTCTGAAGAAAATTCTAATAACAAGTATGAACTGCAAGATACGCAGCATTCTATCTATGATAATTATGAAAATTTATTTTGTTTTACTACCATAATGTAATTATTACATTCATAAAAATAGTTATTTAAAATCACTCAAGGAGTTCAAAATAGTAATTATTAAATTATGATTTGAAAGAGCTTTTAGTAGGATCACAAACTTCACACATACGCGTATTTTAACAAAATGCTAACAGAACACAGACTTTTTTCTAAAATATTTATTTACAAGTATGACTAAAAATAACACATAAACTGCTCACTCTGCATCAATGATATGGCTGTATTTTTCAATGTATTCCTTTCTTTTTGCTTTTCCCCGCAGTATTGCTTCTTTGAAAAGTCTGCAGTATAATTCAATTGACTGTGGAGTATCATCATTACCAGGAACAGGATATGTTATATAGTTAGGAAAACAGTTAGTATCTACAATTCCAACAGAAGGAATCAACATCTTGTTTGATTCTATTACAGCTTGATGGACTTGAAAAACAGAATCCAAAGTATTCAGAAAGATTGTGAGGTCAGGAAGGCGTGTCATCATACCAAATCTCTTGGGATCAGTGAACATACCTAAGCGCCAATCTTTCGTATGACAATATTCACCACATTCGATGGCTGTCTTCTCAATTACGTATGAATTCTGAAAGATATAAAGTGAAACATATAACTACATTATTTAATTAATACAATTGGATTTAATGAAGTATATGGATATCTTCATTTGAAACGTTTTTGTATTTTTTACTGAATTTCTGCAAGCTTTAACAAAAAAATTACCAACTATTAAAATCATCCACATTTAGGATATTATGATCCACATTCCATCCTTAAAGGAAAACACCTTTACATTATTTTTCTTTTATCTTCACCCCCACTTTTCTGTCTGTTTTAAATAAGGGATATACAAAGCAAATGCAACACCTCGCTCTAGGATAATAAGGGTACAATATGTATACCTCAGGACATCCAGTGATGTACATGAGCATTGAACAAAGAAACATGAATGAGTTTTTTGATTTTATTCAAATTGTTTAAATGAGCTGCTAGACAGAATTCTTTTTGAGATTGACACTATAAAGGAAATTTTTGCTGTGCAAGAAAAAAGGATGTAATGAATCTTATGAACTTACTGCTTAATAGTTTATTTTTCTCTTAGAGTATAAATTTTTCCTTACTTTTTTATTTTATTTGGCATATATGCTCTCTAAGTTCTATCCTATGAATAGGAGTTTTGCCCTTTTTAGGTTCTTTTGCAAAACATAGAATATTCTTCATAAAGGTTACCAAATTTTCACACTGCAACCATAAATATATTGGGGAAATGACTGTGTTCTCCCTGGGCATTGGAAAAAATGCATAAATGTCAAAATTATTTTCTTTTCATCTTTTTCCAGAACAGCAAAACTCAGACATATTTTTGATCAAACACTTGTTTCTGTGGCAAAAATCCATTTGCATGATAAGCTTCTGCACTGAAGATAAGGTGAAGATTATTCAAAAATAATAAATGGATGCAGCCAAATCGATATTTGCAAATGATTCATCATTCAAAGAAGCTGTATTCTACCAACAAATGCTTTAGACAAAGACCAATGAAATTGCCTAACACTTTAAAGAGACTAGAAAAGAATGAACAATCAATTTAATTACTGCATATAATATAACGGTAATTAAATCTTAATATGAATTTTTCAAATCAGACTTGCAATTTACTTCTTTTGATAGATGTGATAATGTAACGAGTTTTTTTTACTTCAAGCACCATTAAATTTTCAGATAATCTTGTCAGATAATTCATTTTTATTATCAGATTGGATTATAATGAATCAAACTTCGAGTCACTTGAAGTTCATTATAATGGAGTTTGACAGTAATTCTAATGATAATTTCTGATACAAATATGAAATGTTACTAACGAAAGTGCTGCTAAAGAGGTTATTAAAATTATTTCTGAAATTCTGGGGCATGGCAATTAAATATTAATCAAAATAAGTAACAATATGCATTATTTTTGTATAAAACTATATCACAAATGAATTTATTATATAATAGTTACAATGATATTATTGCAAAATATATATTTCAGGATAGTATTCATGTATGATCTTTGCATGAAATGAAACTTTGCTTACATTCCAACCAATATACATTTACAACTAGTTTCTAACTTTCACTCCACACCAATACCAGCATACATATTCAAAACAAATTTTTTATTGAACTTGAAAATAAACAATGAGATGTTGCTTTTCCCATGCCTGCATGTGACCGGGACCTGAGACATCACCCCACACTAAGCGCCACAGTGTGATTGGCTCTTTAGCAATAATGCCAATGCATCAGTGCATGACTTATAAATGTGTTAAAGTAGTGAATAAAGAGGTAAAATTTCAAAATTTTAAACTTAAGGCACACAAATATTACTTAAAATTTACTATGTCATATTAATCACTGAAAATAACAAACAAACAATTTTATTCGGAAGTTGATTTTGCTATGAAAGTGCATTATAACTGGCCTTGAAGTACGTGAGTTTGAACTGCAAGGATTCACTTGAAATTTTTCCAACAGATATTTGGAAAAAAAAAAAAAAAAAAAAAAAAAAAAAAAAAGAAAGAAAGAAAAACTTTTATACATTTATAGCAATTTTAAAAGATTAGCAGACGAAATATTTAATTTACAAACATCAAAAGGTTTCATTAAGTAAAATACATCATCAATGCATACAGAAACAAACTTAGCACAACTGCAAATGAATCGGAAGATATAAGGGTCTATATGTCAAAAACAAATTTTACAGCAATAGTTAGTATTGCTGTAAAATTATTATTGGCTGCTTCAGTTTTAGTTCAATTTACATCACCAGAATTACATAAGAATTATATGACATAGATTTTTCTGAAATGACGCAGTGCAAATAGATGTTGCTCTTTTTAGAATAGAGAAGGGAAATTAATTTACGATGCTAATTTAATCTTTTACATATTATTTTTCTTACATATACAGTCAAAAGTCTTTAATCCGGACTCGTCGGGACTTCGGTGATTCCGGATTATCGATTTTTCCAGATTATAGATCATCAGTTTAAATCTGGTAAGATGGAATGCAGAAATTATAAAATTAAAAATATGAAACCGTAATTTATGAAATAAAGAACAATTATGATCTAAAGGGTATCAAAATTTACAAAAAACAAGCTTAATATTTATTTGTTTACTTTACTTTCTTAGCTATCGGAAGCGAATTATAATGATGAGGAATTTGATTTAAATCATATCAAAGACGGAGTAGTACATCGAGATGAAATACTACGTTTAGTAAGGAATTATAAGCCAAATAAAATAAAAACATCTGCCCTGAAGATAAGGATAGTGTTGACAGATCAACTTCCAATTCATTGCGTGCCACAGCGTCCCCTCGCCACAGAGAAGCGTGAAATTGATAAACAGGTTTCGGAATGGTTAGATAAACAAAGGATATGCCTTTATCCATTTTTTGCGGCAATTCCACTTTTTGTTTAATGGACTTCGAAACATACTTTTGCTTCGTAGATCCTTTACATATTAGTAAATATATATCGGAAATTCTATTTGACATAATCGAAAGTTCAAGCTTACTTTTATGAAATTGGTCTAATAGTCTGCAAAAAATAATAAGCCGGATCCAATTCGAAGATTAAGGAACAATGCAATCTGCAACATTAACTGAATTAGATAATTTTAGCTTAGCTTATACCGTCCGTTATACATTAAACACGCATGCGTAAATGTATTTTGGGCACATGCACATGCATATTCGCAGCCGTAAAGGTCTTACACGCATGCGTTAACACGACGTAGCTTTGAGGTCCGGATTATAGATCACTCCGGATTACGGGTGTCCAAATTAATGACTTTTGACTGCTATATTTAAACAAATAGCAGTTCCAACTATGAAGAATAAAATTTAACCCTTAATTTTTTCCTCAAAATATTCAACAGACATAACATGCAGATTTAAGACAATTTATACTACAACATGCACATTATGCATTCAATTACAATAGCTCTACTTGAGGACTTATGATAATACTATGCACTTTACATTCAGATCATCAAAATTTTCTAGGTTATATTAAAGTATACATTCAAATATAAATTAAAAGAAAAAATATATATTAATGCTCATAACAGTTAGAACATACAATACTAAGGATTTCTAGTCTTCCTTTAACATGCCCACCTGAAAATTTTTGAATTCTTATAATTCTTATACAAGCCAATATTTTATACTTCTTAAGGAAAATTCTAATATTTAAAGCATTCAAGAAAACTTAGAGATGATATATCAAAATACCAGCTAAAATTCAGAACCTTCAGATTTATAATAATTCCTTCTCTCTTACACATTCCATTATATAAGCTTAATTTCAGCAAAATTCATCAACATTTTGGATATTAAAAGATCTATTAATACATGTTAAAATTTTCAAAATTTATGCTTTCATATTTGAAACCCAAAACCAAAGCACACATTTCTTTAAGCTTTACAGAAAATAATGCTGAGTGAAAAAACAGTTATTTGAATTTGTATAAATTAAATTACTTCACTGCATCAATATAAAAAATCCCAGGTACTTATCACCTTAGGTTTGCAGACTTTATGGCCTAGTGGGCCTGGAACCTGTAGCAGTTTTTTCGATTTAAATTTTTTATGAACACTAATGGTCCCGGCATTTTAAAGCACTTCTCACAACTTTTGGACACTGACTGTCCCACAAAACTTGAGGTGATTTTGAAGCCTGACGATCTCTTCAATAGAACATTTATAGGAACTGGTCGCAAAAAATGTAATGATACTGAAGATCTTTCCCCCCCAAAATTAAGATGACTGGAATTTTAGAACCCCAAGCTCTTTTCTTGTCCTGGACTGACATATACAATCTTTTTTAGAGTGAAATACAAGAGTTCTTGTTTAATGAAAAACTAAACTGCTTTGTGGGTTTCATATTCTAGCGCTGCCATCAATACATTTAAGTGCTGTGATAAAAAATTTAGGCCTTATTTAAGAGACTGATAGTCCTAATAAAACTGAAGCAGTATTTTGAAGCCTGATAGGTCCTAATGAATTTAAGCTGTACTTTAGAGCCACATGGTCCTCTTTACCCCGACTGATGCCCACAATCGGCTTCCGTGGATTTCACATCACACTGCTGCTTAATTTAAGAGTTGTAAAGTCGCTGTAACGTTTTCGTAATGAAAAAACTCAGATCAGTTATCTTTTTTAGCCCAAAGGACATTAGCTCAGAGAGGCTATTAATTTCCTTTTGGCATTTTGCATTGATTCACTTTTCAAACTGTTGCCACCAAATATTACAGCCCTTTATTATATTTAAGAAATTAAATAATGAAGAATCTGCATAAATGTATGCATGTTTCTTGCATTGTGATAAAACAATGGTACCTAGGGCCATCAAATTCTGAATGACATAATCCTGCACTAAATATGGGCATCTGGAAGCCCTAATTTGGAATTTGTTTTATTATCTATTTCATATTTTGTCAGACATTAAAGAGGTTTTGATTAACAAACTCGACAGTTTCAAAACGAGGAATGGCAACACTGTATGGGGGGGAAAAATTTACCTCCAGCGATTGAGAC